GAAATCCTTTTGGATCCAGATTCTTGACTCCTTTTCTTTTCTTTTGTTTGACTTTTTTTTTTATCGTTTTCCTTCTCGCCTATTTTCGTCGAGTCCAAATTATATACGTTTCAGCGCAACTTGCGATATCCGTAGAAAATTTGAAAATACACGTTGTTACGTCCGACGCGACCGATTGGTTCGTTTATACCACGTGTATTAAGGTCTCCGAACTCGTGGTTTAAACGAGCGCGGATACTTCTATGAATACCGAATGCCAATTACTTAGGATTACAGCTCTGAAACCGAAAGAATGGTGTACAGGAATTTTTCGTCGTAGTTTAGCATTTATTTAATTCTGCGTCGGATGTTTTTGTGAATACCGTATTCGTGATTGCTAGAGACAGGAGCAAAAGTTAAAGAGGACTGCATACGAATCCTTGTCGTAACAGAGGTCTCGGCTAGCGTGATAATAACCGTGTTGCGACTAACGATTGACGAATAATACGAAATGGGACCAGCAGCAATTAAACGTCACGGTCATTGGAATTGACTTTATCAATCTTCGTTAATAGTCACACGTATGCGTTTATTACCCGGACGAGAACATGTTCCCCATCGCGTGTCCATTTCTCACACAAATACATATTTACTTTTCAATCCGAATGAAAGTAACCGATCGAAAGTATAACAGTAAAGAAAGAAACGAAAGAAGATCATCCGATAGCAGGTTACAGAGAAAAAGATGGAAAAATGGCGATCCGTGTCTATTCTCAGTATTTAAGGCAGCCTTTAACGTTAAGATGGTTGGGTTCAGTTCCTACAATGACACGTTTATCGGGCATTTGGTGGTTGAAATGCGATTCGTACCGTGTGTATTTGCTGAACTGTAAAGTTGAGGTATATACATTTATTAGAGTAGAAGAGAAATGTTATACAAGTGATCGATTCGAGATATGTTCGCGACTTGTTGATATAAGCCTTCTTCCTCGCCACTTCTCTCCCGGTTCCGTTTTAGCCGACGCTTCCGTTGAGGGGTTTCTCTACGTAATCTCATTATTACTTTCTTTTTTGTTTGTTTACTCTCTTTTATTCAGGCTTGTTTTGAGAACGACCGATTTGCGATTTATTGGTTCCGCCGGATTTGTTTTGCGACGAATCTCTCTCTGTCTTGTTCTTTTTGTACCGCTACTTCCGTAAAATTGTATCAATAGTTTTCTCGTCTTCTTTTTCCTCCCCCATTCTTTTTTCAACGAGTATACATCGTTACTTTTTTTCTAATTATACGACTCGATGATGATTATGATTACAATATGACAATGTTGAGATATGAAATAAATTGTGTAAATATATCATTTTCGTAAAACCGTTTGCTTTTCCCTTATGCCTTCTGACTTTAAACGGGGCCAGCGAATAAACGAAGGGTAGTAAAAGTTCAATTGTATATAAATAAGTATGTATATTATTAAAAAAAGATATGGTGGATGTAAAATTGTACAGGAATTTGTATCGAATTATATAAGGTCTGAGAATTATTGAGGTAGATCGGAATTCGGTTCAGCGTTTTTGGTTAAATGCAATCCATTAATTTTCTTGGTAGAAACGAGGATTAAGTAGAAAGATTTCACCTGTTCACGGACCGTAACCTTTGAACCGAATGTTTTATGTGTATCCTTATCGTAGAATCGCAATGAAAACCTTTGTTGTCTTGTTTGAAATTTCATTCAATTGCCTGGAGCATCTACAAAAGAATATTCGAATAAAAAAGAGTTATTGAATTAATTGTATGTAGGCTCTGTAGAATTAATCATGATCTTACTTGGTACTGGATAGTTGAACACAGGATACTTAGGCGCGAAGGGAGTACTTGCACCGTACACATAATCGGATTCACCGACATCTTTGATGTGTTGAGCTCTTGATACACATTCTTCGTAGGATGGAGGTGCTGCATATAAATGAAAGGTAAAAATGTCAAATTTCTTTCTTTGAACATTACTTAGTGCTTCGATAATTCATTTTCTAAAGATTCGTAAACGTAATGTTTCAATTATGTTAATTCATTTCTGAAAAATTGAATTTAAACACACGTTTAAAAAGTAAATAACGCAATTTCGGTATTAATTCCTTACGTATGTCATAGTCGCTGGAGGTACCAGCCTGGTCCGGCATAATGAAACCAATATGTCTACCAGGAACATTGGAATGTGATGCTTCTGGCAGTGGCATTGGAACTGGCGGTGCTGATTCTTTTCCGATCGCTGGTCTGACATGTGTTTGTTCGTTAGGCGGTGCGCTTGGTGTACTGTATATTGGTATTGTTCCGATGAGAAGAGGGTACCTTTTTTCAATTCTGCGGTGCCTAATTGTTGTTGGAAAACACATTTTAATGGAAAGTAGTGCAGTTTGAATCAATCTGATTAATTATCCCAAATATACGACTTGGATATTTAAGCCCAAGTAGTTCAATTTACATTTTGTCTATGGATACTCAACAGAAAACAGCCATGTCGCATGTTTATAAATTAGAAAAATATAGATGTGATTTTAAGTTCTGATTTAGATAGACCTGTTACTTTTTTGTAGAATTCATATTTTCGTATACCAATCTTGAAATAATCATGTAAAAAGGAAACCTACAATTTTTAATACGATATAATAAAGGGAAGATTATGAAACCTTTTTTAAAATTGAAAACTGATGTAGGGAGGTCTCCATAACGGCGCATCGTAATTAAATAATTAAAAATCTAAAAAAATTATTGAGACCTTCCAATTTTTGCTCAATTAGCCTTATGGTTAGTTCATTCGATGAGTGATCTAATTATATTTCACGTTATCAAAATTCCAACGTTATAATTCTAACGTGATAAGATACGTGTTACTGAGGTTTCTACGTACGCTCCTGGAAAATGGACAAGAATTTTTAAGTTGTAGTTCAAGTCTATGATGTCGCAAAATTGTAGGTAAGACGGCGGGATCGGCGGTATCCTGAGTTCTAAATAGATTTGTCCATCTGATGTAAAAGGTCCTGAATATGAACTCGCCATAACTTCGAAATGTTCAGTTCTCGTTTTGGTAGTCGTATGAAATTTGATTTCCTTGAAAGGAAAATGATGGAATAATGATCATTCGCTGCTGAAAATCTTTACAGTTTCACTTACTCGTTCCAATTTCATACTGATCTTCGCTATTGGAATACCATTCGAAAAATTTTTGTAGTCCACCACTGTGATGATCATCTGTCCAGGAACGTATCCAGAAGATGGTACTCGAATGACTGTACTTAACGAGCCCATATTAAAGCAGCAAAGAGAACGGAAGGTCTTCTGAGCTTCATCATGGATTCCCAACTGCTCAAAGTAGATAATCATTTATTTAGCATTTTGAACTTGAGATATATATTGAAAACAAAATCATTTCTTACACATCTTTCCCGATGCATGTTCAGGTCTAGAACGGAGACCACAGTAAAAGCTGCTTTACATTCGTGATCGAATTTCCAAGGCCTGTCGATCACAGATTTAACCGTGTATCGGACGTATCCGACACTGTGTTCGAAGCTACTGGGAATGTTACAGGGAAGCAGAAATTCGAATGGGTACTGATGATATCCCTCGGAGAGTTTGACCCTTGAATCTGCTGGAAAGTGTCAAAGAAAAATATTATAAAATATGACAATGTTTACTTGGATAAATGAAGGAAACAGCATCCATGAGATTAGATAAGGTCTGTCAACTGATTGAACGATTGCAATTGGTGGGACACACCTCCATCGGTACCCAGTATATTGCCCTTTATTTTAAAATATTCCTGCGATGCGTAGTAGGATGTACTTGTAGTTCTTCTATCCTTTCCGGTACCAGTTTCTGACGATTCCGTCCAATGCACGTGGGCCGAACCTTTAGCAGTGAAATGGAGTCCTAAAATTGGTAATTGTTTTTTTAATAAATTTGGTATGAACTCTCGTTATCGTGTATTTAATTCTGATTTACATTTTATACTTTTGTACTTTGTGCTACGGATATTAATTCTTTAAGCCTCTACTGATAACATCAATTGGTCTTGTGATACTAATAGTTAGATAGTGGAAATAGTAATAAGATGAAAAATTTTCCCCATTTCATATACTTATGGGGTGTTATTTAATTGTGTATAAATAATGTGTATAATTTTTTTATATGTATTTAATAAACGTTTCGATTTGTAATATCATTTGGTTTTATCGGAATATGAAGGTCGGTTCTAATCAATAGAGTACCCATAGTTCGTGAGCGGATAATGTAAGAAATGTTTATACGGTTACATGCATTAAATACCTCGGTATTTGAGAATACGTTTTAAACAAATTACGAATTTCGAGCTTCGTTTAAGCATATTTTGAAGTATATTTCAACAAGGTTGATTTAATAATGCAGTTGCAAAAGTATTGGAGTTTTTTGTGCTTATGAAATGGTTGCAATAATTAAAATAATGAACAAATACTGAAAATGTATGTGAACTTTATGTATATTAATTTTTTACTGAACCTCTCATGTGACTTATTTACATATAAAATGAATCATTTTCAAGTATAGCAAAAATTCCGCTTTACACTCGTCGATTAAAAAGCAAGTAATTTTTATTCTGCTATATATCATCTATAACTTTTTCTGTATTTTGATAATGATACACAAGAAGCTTCAAACTGTTTACGATAACTAGATTGCGGATTTTTAAAAATACAATACAAAAATGCAAATACAAGTTTATCGAAATATAATTAGAAATATAGAATCGCGTTAATGGTTTTTCGTAGCAAATATCACCTATAAAACGCATTATACTTTAAATATTTAAAATATTCTTTTATATTGTGTGCATTTTGCGCAATTTTGCATTTATAAATTTTCCATAAATGTCTGAAAATCCACAGTCTAATTATAAACTAGTACCAACTTTATTTGATTCAGTAAACTATGTTTAAATGACTTCCGCATCACGATGAGTGTGAATGTCTATTAGCGCCTCCTACTTGTTACTTCTTTCTTTATCTTACGTTTGCTTCTCGAAGCTCACCTCTGATGTTTTTTTCCTTCGTCGTATCCAAGATAATAGTACCCTTTACTATTTCACCGACCAAGTACGTGGCACCCGGTCGCTCAAACTCTATGCGAAACGTCCTTAAGGATGTCATTGCACATGAATATCACACGGAACTGAGACTTGCGTTGGATCTTTCTTATCGGGTGAGTCCGCTCGCGTTCCGGTGAATTCCCGAGGAAGGGGAAACCAGGAAAATATAATTCATTGAAAGCCGTTGCTTTTATCTATCATGCCTGTATTTCTGTTATCTCTGTCAGCTATGGAGAGCTCGTTGAACTACCGTATACGGTGAATCACTATTACTGAGCAGTAGGAGTGATTGACGTAGCAGAAGTTCTTCCTTATCGATGCAATATTTAAAAGATCTTTTGCTTTTGTAAAATTAAATGGATCAATTGAATAATTTATTTCTTTGAATTGTAGAGGGTGTTTTTAGAAAACTAGTTGATTTTTTATCGCTTTTCAGGCCGCAATTTTACTTTTTAAATCTAATTTACTGTAGTATTCTTAGAGCTTATTTTGCAATATCATCGTTCTGTGGTTAAGCGGTTTATGAATTAAAGGAATGTATATTTTTATTACTGATTTATGATTCATAGTCCATTAGTTCATAATTGTTTTAATTTTTTTTATAAACTAAATCTTGTATTATGTTTCGTCCGATACGGAAGACCCTAATAAAAGATTCTCGAAGTTCCGTTTATGACATGGACGGGACAAGACAGTTAAGTTTCGTGTTTATTTTTATTTAATACTTTTGAGTTTTATGTACTACGACTGACATGTTTACCGTCGCGACAGCAAACATTTATTTTAGTCAATTTGGATTGCATACAATAGTTATAGAATTTTGTCTCTTTCACCTTAATAACCGATCAGGTCATAAACTCGGGATTTTTAAAAGGTTGGCCAAACACGTGTACACCGGTCCTTACAGACAAGTTTCAACCTGCAGGAAATCTCTGCAAGCCAGCGAACCTTCGAGAAACCCCCCACCCCACATATCCAGAAAGTTCCTTTCAAATTTTAAATAAACCTTTTGCTCACACCTCAACATATTAAACTAAAAAATATTTTCCTCATCCTCATTCATTTTTTTATTTTATTTGTTTATTTTTGTGACGAAAAGTAGTAAAAAGGCATCCTCTATAGTTAGAAAGGCATTTTAAATCTATGATTTTTCTGCTTTTGAATTAAATATATTTTTAAATCTTGTATTACATAATATTTGAGGAATATTATGGATTTATTTCATTCGGCGTCGCGAATTTTATAAGCTTAATCAAAGACAAAGCCGTCAAGTACCTTGTAACAGTGTAAATATTATTTAAATAACAATATGAATATTAGAACATACATAAATTTGTATAAAAATACAACACTTAATTTAAAAACTGAGGTAGATTTGGTTTTGGTTCAGTATCTTTGATTAAATGCAACTCTTTAAACAATTTGCTTAGCAATTACGAGACAATTGAATGGAAAGTTTCGTTTTGTTTATGAACCGAATATTCTTCGGTATTCTTTGTCGTATGATTATAAAAACCTTTATCAACTTGTTCGAGTCTTCATTTACTTGTACGGGGTATCTACAAATAAACACTTGATTAAAAAGAATCATCAAATTTACTGCATGTAGGCTGTATAGAATCATGATCTTACTTGGTACTGGATAGTTGAACACAGGATACTTAGGCGCGAAGGGAGTACTTGCACCGTACACATAATCGGATTCACCGACATCTTTGATGTGTTGAGCTCTTGATACACATTCTTCGTAGGATGGAGGTGCTGCATA